GCATTGAGGTCTGCAGGACCTGCAAGGCAGGTGGGGCGGTAGGCAGGTCTGTTCAGCAAGGTGCCAGTGCCGCTCAAGCTCAGGCGGCAGGAGACTGGCTGCCACGCGTGGAGCACTGGTGAAAGCGCTGGAGAAGTGCCTGTGGAAAAAGAAGACATCTTGCAGGATGTGCAAGCCAACGAAGGTCCTTTGGATGCGTCTGCCACCTTGCTGCAGAAGAATTTGGTCAGTTCCTGAGTGGCGGGTATGTGGAGTTGCATTTGGGATGCGCAATAGGGAAAGGGTGCTGGGCCGCTTTGGAACAGCTCTGAAATGTTCTGTACCATCGGGGCTTGCGTCCCCTGTGGGCTGGTGTTGATGTCGGTGTGTTGTGGCTGCGTGTGTTCACAAGGGTCTTCAGGCAGAAGCCGACTACGGAGTTCAGGCCCAGGGCTGGAAGATGGGATCGTGGATAGCTCGTCGATGGAAGAGCGGTAGTGGCCAATGGTTGTCACACAGCGCCTGTGTATGGAACTGGAGGTGAGGGGATGGAATGGGAGTTTCGAGTCAAATTATAGTGACCAGGTTTGGTAGAATGCAAATTGGACAGCAAGCCAGGGTAAGCATGGAAAGAATTTGCTGCCTGCTACCTCCATACGAGCGGGCCAGCGACGGGCCGCCATTCTGGAGAATGTTACCAGCTCTCTTTCGCGTCGAGGCAATTGTGTGTCAAGCCTTGTGGCCTCGCTGCAATGGAAGAAATTGGGTGCGGCCAGCATTTAGAGCAAAAGCGGTAGTGGTAGTTGTGTACAATATCTGTGTATGCAGAACACCAGGCTGTGATGCATGCTAGTGGCTGACCACAATGGTAATGTTGCTGTGGCAGAACGAATGGAAGTATACTGCTGTGCTGAATTTTCCTTTCAGACTTGGGAGCTGAGATTGTAAAGATTGGGTGTATGCTGCGTTGCCTTTCATTGTCATTTTGGCGCTTTTGGTATCTGCGCCCCAGAAAACTTGGCGAAAGCGAGCTGAGGCACTTTTGTGCACTAACGATAATGTGCATGACACCAGTAGGTGGTACATTGGTAGGGTAGCTGCATTGTTGCGTTTGTCGACTCAAGATCAGGTTGCACATCACTTAGGGAAGATACTCTGTTGATTTTGGTACGCTTAGCGTCAAATTGACGTCACAGGGGGGTGGGGGTGTGGGGAGTTCCAGGCTTGGGACGATAGGGGAGATTTAATCTCTTACAATAATATTGTCAGTTGCGGCTTTTGGTTTCTGCGCCCTTTCTGCTTCGATGCAGGAAATGATAGCAACGAAAGTCGCTGTCCATATTTGCTGAGCCACCATTGTTGGAGCTGTCATGTGTTCTGTTGCTGTCGTGAAATGTGGTACTGTCATGACGATACCGGAGTTGTGTTTGAGGCTCAAGGTTTCGATTTTCCATAAATTGAATTACTTAAGGTACAAAGGAAGAAGCGGACGTGGGGTTCGATGTGCCCCTCAGAACCAAATGCTCCACAATAGTCATGGATGCAGACCCGCGATCCCGCCGCTGTTCGATGAGCCAAGCTCAAGCATTCAAGTATGCAGAATTGTGATATTTGGGAACCACAGCACGTCGATTGCAGTAAGCTGAATTCCAAATTCGCGTGAGGATGTTGGTGGGGTGGTGGGCATGTCTTCCTGAGCTGGCAGGCGGACATGTGACACTTCGAAATTGTCACAAGATCGGCGCTAGCCAACGACCAAACCACAGTTTATCTGCAGCGAATTGGTCACGGCTTGTTCGTAAACCCCCCTGAAGCTTTGCAACTTTGTGAAAGACCGCAACGAAGCACACATTTCTTCAAATGTGACAGGGCACATCTGTTGCACTCACGAAAGAAGCGATCAAAATCTTGCATGTCCACCCTGCCCGCCAGGTTCTCTCGCCTGCCATGTTGACCGCAGGGCTGTTGACAACACGATTGTTGGCACGCCAGATCTCGCTGCAACGATAGTCATCGAGATGCGCAATGACACAAATCCATGAAATCTGTCCGACGTTGTTAGACCCGAACGAGGCCAGGGTGCCTGGAACCATCCCACATGCGAATGACTATCCAGCCTCTGCAATGCCGTTTGCACCTCCAGCAGAGGAACCATGTCAATTTTGTGTCGCCGCCCAGCACGGTCGCGGACAGGACTGCTGGCCCCTGAACTATGACGATCGCGACACAACCCACCAGGGTGTGATGTAGATATTCATCTAAAAGTTAAAATTTCTGTAGCATGGCCCCCTTCAACGTGTTTTCAGAACATTTTTTAAAAATGAACAACCTGCTTAAGCAGGCATCGCAGCTGTTTGTGAAATTCAAAACGTCCCTATGCACTTTCGTGATGCCTTGGGCCGTTTCTTTTAATGCACTCCCCACTTCGCATTGTACTTCTGCCATGATGTTGCCATCACCCCTTACTTGTCCATCCCTCACAGCAGATTTTTGGCGTGCTGAGCCACCACCAATGCATAAATGGGATCGCCATGCCCCACTATGCTAGGCAGCTTCTAAGCAACAAGTTTCAAGCTTAGCAGGAGGCAACCACAGGCACCACCAGATTTCCCCGAGAGCCACAGCAGCAGCCATGCGCACGTCGCCACCATGCCACCACCGTCCGCTCAAGTCTCCTGGCATTACCAAAACCGCAGCATCGGCTGTTTCCCGGTTCTTTTGTGCACATTTGCTTCCGAGAGTATAAATCTACATTCTATTGAGAATGGTGTCAAACCCACCTTTAAAGGTCGGCATGGCTAAGCGAGTCAAAATTTTTTCGAGTGCGGCGACTGTTGCCGCCGTGGGTGCAATAAATAGGCGGACTGGATTGGGTAACCGCATAGAACCCATCTGGAGGTACGCGGAGGCCGCGCGTGCCTGCGCGTTTGAGTAAAGCTGTGTGCTCTGGACTGGGTTGGAAAACTCGGAGCGGATGCTTCTTTGGCCGCAATGGTTATGGACTGGGAGCGCATCTCCCTGTTGGAGTCAATACTGGTATACATGGCAGATGCGTGCGGCCAGGGTGGGCAGTTTTGACCCCGCCAGAGAGTTCAGGATGGACAAAGGGATCGTCTATTTTGATTGAAGTTCATTGAAGGGCAGCCTGCAAGTAGCCTATAGTTGTCGAAATTCGTATGTGCCACTGCTAGTGATTTCCGCCGCTCCAACAGCACTGAGCACTGCCAGTACGAGGAGCTAAACCATGCGCACATAAGGCCTGCCGTTTGGGGAAGTATGTTAGATAGAACATTTCCAGAGAGAAAGGAGGAATAGAGTGAGGGAGCGCCTCATACCTGATATTGTAAGACTATGCCGAATGTGTAGAGGACATCGGCGATTTGGCAAACTCAACTGACAGGGCAGCTGGAGAGATTTCTCCAAGAGAAAACACCTCAAACGGAAAGAATGCGAGCTTGCCCAGACAAGCTCGCATTTTTCCCTTGGTTGAATATTGGAAGAGTTTGATTTGGTTGCCTCGAATGCAGTATTAATGCCATTTGAATCCCAAAAGTGGCTTTCCTTTGGGTGAGCGATGCGGGCTGTGTGTGCCCACTGGGCATACGTGTGCGACCCGTAATCTTGGGGAAACAACAAACCAATAACTGAGACCATTTGGTCTCGTAAGGACTAGGCTGGCTCAGGCTCATGAAGAGCCTCATATTCTTGTACACTTGCGGATTGAGTCTCCATATGTGACACCTGTGTGAATACATTGGGGCTCGCGAGCGGCCGCTCATTGGACGGAGGAAGTATATCATATCCCATGCATTTATGCACAATATGGGTCGACTTCTGTGCTGACCCAATGCCAGAAGCTGACAGGCGTTCTGATCCCACATTACCTTATGCTCAGGTCCTCACTATAATGTGACACCCAGCAATGGGCTACCCCCCGCGACGCGCCCCGAGATGGGCACCCATCACGACCGCACGGGGGCTCGAATGAGCATGCTTTCAAATTCAGTTTTGTTACACAAGCTGACCAGCATCCTTTCCCATTTTTAATCGCTGCAAGAATGTACCAAGGTGGCACATCTGCGCAATTATCGTGAGCCACCTTCCATTGTTGTGTCAATTCTGTCCTTATGTGACCCCCCAGTCTAACAATGGCTAGTCGATTGCGATGATATTCTGACGGCTCTCAAAAAGCCGGCAAGGAATGGCAAGGAATGGCCGTTGATGCAATTCAAACGGCCCCCTTTGGAATGCACACGGGAAGCGCGAATCCACGATCGCCGATGCCTCAACGGGTTGGCACACGGCCAGACGCAAGGCCACACCACACACAAAACGCCCAGGTCTTACATATTTGTTCACCCTTCCCACCACGAAGAGCTTTGCCGACGGTGGCAGCGACCCCCGCAACCGAACAATTCGAATCACTTTGCAACCACAGAACTGTCCTTTTCATGTGACAAGGACCATCAGCCATTACCAACCAGCCATGCCGCACTTCAGAGATGCCCACTCATCGCTACAATACAGCCCACTCTATAACATATATACTAAAGGGGCCCATACACTCAATCACATTGTAGAAATATTTCAGCTGCGAGCGCGACCCCAACATAGCATTTGTCTCTGAATCGGATGGCATCTCCTTCTGTGAATTCTAAAAACATTTTTCTTTTCTGTTTATAAATTCAGAATGCCTTGCACGTAAACAATATTCTTGAAGTGCATACAAGTCGCACAGCGTAATGCATAAGTGACCCACCCAGTGAAACGGTGGTCATTATGCGGTGTTGCGAACACAGAACGATTCCAGCAATCGTTATCGCCACCATCGCTCCATTTCATGTGAACCCACTACGCTGACCCGGGCGCCCTGCCGTGCCCCTCCCCCGTCTCCAGGCACCCTCCTCGTCCCGCCGGAGCGCGCCCGCGGGATGCCGACACTTCTCCGGATCCCCCGCGGTGCCCGGGCGCCGAATGCCGACGCCGCGAACAGAGTTGGGGGGCCCATCCCGCGAGGCGCGATGGCCGCGCGGGCGCCCATGCCGGTTCCCGGCCTGCGGAGATCGTCCGCGCTGCAGTGCGAGTCCGCGGCGCGCCGGCTGGGGCGATCGGGACGGGGCCGCGTGGGTCAGGTGGGTGCGCGTGCTTGTTGGGTGCCCGCGTTTGAGTTGACATCTCGACGGAGTGGAATAGTATCCTACGAAAATGGGCACACCCACATCTTTGGAGGCAATTTGTGCGCGGCTCAATTCCTGGCCGTGGGAGATGGTGCGGAGGTCTCGGACGGGAACAAGGGTGCCATGAGACACGACCGGTTCTCGAAGTGTCGGTTGAGATTTGGGCGCTGACATAATTGGGCCCTCTGAGATCATGGGCACACGCTTTGCTACTATGTCCTGTTCGGCACCACCTCCGCGGTCGGCAGGCTACCTCCTAGGCAGACGGGGATGGTTTGTGTCTCCCGGGCCCGTGCGTTTCAGCTGGCTGCATCGTTGGTAATGGATGCGGCTGGTGGCTCATTTGACTTCCCTGTGGATGGCAGGTTCGCGCACAGCTCCCGGACTCGTCGGACAACGCGTTCACGAAGACCGCGCAGAAGGTGATGCGCTTGAGAGCGACCACATGTTGACCTCATGGTTGGCTTGATTGTGGCCATCAAGGCCGATTGCTGGGCTTGATGATTCTGACTGCTTCGTGCCCAGGCTTCCTGACAACAAAACCTCCAGCTGGCCGTCCATCTCTGCTGACCTGAATTTTGATGAGCTCTCTGGCTGATCGCTGTATGGGCTGCTGAGATGCTCGTTACCTGGGTTGAAATGGCCTTGTTGCCCCTGTGGGCTTGGAACATATTGTGTTGCTTGCAACAACGCAATACCCCCCCATATTGCACCAGTCACCAACGACTAGCTGGAGGGATGAATGGGCGAGATTAAAATAGGACAGCGTATACAGCCCAGCAAATTACTTGACTTTATTGGGAATGTTGAATAAATGGTGCAACAAGAATTGATGTGGGACCAGCTTTTTGCCGAGTTGACAGTCTTTCCTTCTGTGCTCTTTTTGTCTACTCTACTAGTTGCTGGTTGCAGGAAACAGCCTAGAATGCCACTCCTGGCATTCTGTCAGGTGGCCATCCGCATTCAATAACAGCTGCTCCTCGTCGCAATGTTCTTGAGAGCCTGCAGGACGAGTGGCGATGGACATGATCGTTACTGTGGTATTGTGCTCGGACTGTAGCCAATGGCTGCAACATTTCTGTGAATAGAGAAGCCTCACAAAAGGGGACATATGCCATGCATTGGAGTCCTTCTCTTTTGGATGATGTTTGATTGTTTGGCTCTTTGTAGGTGATCCATGCTTAACTGTGCTTACTTCTTCGAGTGTTTGCATGTCTACATGTTTGTTGTGCTCATCGTGCAGGCACTCGAGGTCAATCTGCATCCAGAATGGTATGGCACGTTTGCTGAGATTGGTGCTGGCCAGGAAGTGGCGAGGTGGTTCTTCAGGGTTGGAGGAGCTGCGGGCACGGTGGGAATCAGTTTTCTGTTGTTTCCTTGGTATTCTATATGTATATACAGAATACTGTGTTCCAAACTGAGGAGGAAGCCAAAACTGTACCCCTTACCCTTGGAATCACGATGTCATGTTGTTGTTCTGTGCACTGCAAGCTGAGTATTGAGCAAATGTGCTGCTGATTGCTTTGTTAAAATGCATTTCTGGTGGCACATTGCCTGAATGTTTTGTTGGACCTTCAAAAGGAGTCAGTTGTGTGTGCATGGGAGACTCAAAGCTGCCTAAATCATGCCATCTGAGGTCAAGGTTGTGCTGTTCAATGTACTGTGCTAAGGGCTGGTGTTGTATATCAGCAAGAAGTGCTTGGACCACCAATTGGTTGGTGTCCTTAGTAGGGGTAATGGCAACTTCTCAAACAGGTTTAGACCTGAAACTCAATGAAAATCTTGTGGAAATCCCCAAATGCAAAAGTTTAGTCAGTGTTTGCATGGCCCAGTTCCTACCCCTCTCAAAGGCCCTCAATACCAGCGAGTGCAGTGCCAAAGTTACCTGTTTGCTCTACCTTCGTACACCCTATCCACCCCTTTCCTAGCGTTCTCAATGCAAATCGGTGGATTGGGAATGGCCTGCTTTGCCCTACATCCCCCCAATCTTCTAATGTACCACTCCTACTCCCAATCACAATGACCTCATCGCCGCTAAATATATTGTGGAAATTGCATGCTTGCCCAACCTCCTTGCACCTGGGCATACCTCCCTTCCTGATGAAGGGCATGTCGTTGGGCAAGGTGGGTGCAGGCTTGGTGGTGATCGACAATGGCGTATCCGACCCGTCTGCATTTTGGACTTTCAGCGTTAAGAATTTTGCTCCGCTTTTTATGTGACAGATAGTTATTGATGGGGCTCTGCATAAGCTGGTCACAGCCAGAATGGTGACTCCACTCAGTCCGCATGGCCTCTATTGCTGTTTTTTGCCATCTCGGCTCCTGTGTCTGGGTCCTCTGGGCACCACAAGCAGTCCAGAGACCCCTGCATTGCAGTTGGGGCTGCTCCACGATTGCTCGGCCCCGTTATGTTTTATCATTGCTTGGCATAAAAAGGCCAATTGCAGTGTTACAATGAGGAAGGGTGCAATATACCACGGTACTTCTCCAGTGCCAAAAGGGTGGCACAGCTTGACTGAAAAGGACAATAGATGCAGACTCCAGTTGAGGTGGTTTCATGAGTGTGTGTGTGTGTGTGTGTGGTAGGTGATAGAAACCATGCAAATTGATACATTCAGAACCTCATGGTGCCTAGGCTACTCAATGCAGTAGTTGACACTTATTGAAATTGCTGATGCCTGTTTGCAGTCTGCGTAAGAAACTTGTGCAAACAAGAAGGTCTGGGCATTCTGGATTTTGCAAGTGCAAGGGCAGTGATGTTTAACAATGGATGTTCTGATGGATGTGGTTTTGAGCACTCCACAGGTTGCCAAATCGGTGTCCGCCTATGACATGACGGTCTCGGACAGCATGTATGGTGCATGTGCAAGGTGAGGCCTCTGCGGCTGCCTCTGGAGGGGGAAAAATTTAAGCAGTTTGGGAAAGAGGAACTGCGGAAAAGCATGTTGTGGCCAGCAAGAATTAACATCAAGTGTTGGTGGTGACTGTCAGATTGTTCAGCAACAAGAAAAAGTGCAATGGCCCCCAACCCACCCAAAGCAATTTGCTCAGTGTTTGTTTCCATATCGCAATGCACTACAGAAGTCCTAGAAGTGCAGCAGGAATTGCATTGGACGAGTAGACTATCCCAAAAGAAGCAGCACGTATACTCCCTTGAGCCCATGCTTTATTTTAGGGCGCAAATTGAAACATTGCACATTTTTGCTATTGTTAGCATTGGTATGTGGTTGTCAGTGTGACGCGAGCACTTTGTTTTGTTTCTAAATTCGTTGAAATACACTGCCAATCGAGCATGTGCCAAGTTCAGCATGGAGAAATTCAGTGCCTTTGCTCTGTATTGCAGTGAATGTCAAAACTCTGGCTGGAATTCCGACCATCGTTGCCTGTGACATTGCATGGGCGGTGATTTGTTTTATCTTGGCAGGCGCAAAAACAATCGCCTTAGCATGTGGGCTTGCTGGACATACAGTGGGTAGTTCCCTCGCCTGAGCAAGAATGTTGAGAGAATTAGCAAAGGTAGTGAAAGAGAGTCTCGATTTGCCTGATGGTATTAGCCCAGTGCTGCGAAACAGGTACGTGACGAAAGAGAGGTTGGAGGCCATGCTGGACTATGAGTACCTGCAATGCAGCTTGACGCTGAGGAAGAACAAGGGACACAACACCCAGTTCTTTGCGTTTGCTGACACCGTTGTGGCAAAAGCATACAAGCGGGACAATGAATGCCATGGATGGCTGGGCATCAAGTTCCAAATGAATCCAGGGTGAGATGACGGCTGAACTTACGGTCTTGTATTGTTATCTGTTTCTAATCCTGTGAGCCGATCTGTTCTTGGGCTGGTGTTCATGATGCGATCTGTAGGAGCGATGTGCTTGCATGTGCTTGCAATTGTCCACCATTGTGCAACACTTCTGTTTTGCCAACAGGGAAGAGCCTTGCAGGATCATGGTTCACTGCCGCATGCTGGAGGACAGTGCCTCTGCGCAGCAGGTGTCTCTGGGCGTGCTGGGAGTCAATCTGCTCCACTCTGCATTCATCGAGCGGGACCCCATGAAGATTGTGAAGGTGGGTATACTGACCATGGAGAACTATGATCTCTGAGGGCATGCAACTGACGTTTCCTTGCTCTGCATGGCATCTTCTGCCAGGTGCAGGGAAGTGGTTGGTCAGTTGCTGGACACATTGTAGTCAATGCGCATGGAGAAAAGCAAAATCGTGAAGAAGGTTAGAACACTTTATTAGCGTAGCCTACTAGCAACGTGTTGCTGCTGTTGATATTGTCACATCGCTGAGTACCAGTAGTAGTCCTTTCGAAGGTTTGGAGGGTCAGACTTGAAAATCATTTGACTGTCGTTGGGGGAACAGTGCTCACTATTGAATGTAAATTGCTTATTCATGCTGGCATGTCACCTCCATCATTCTTTGTAACAAGATGAAACATCTAGCAATGGGGAAACCTTCGTGAACAAAGATACTATGATGTGCTGTTTTGCACTGTGAAAGATGCTGTTGAATCCCCAAAGGCTGGTTGAGAACACACAGCACCGCAATGTGTCACCTCCAACAGTTGGACTTTCCAAGTGATGCTTCTTGGTCCCTGGGCTTTTGCATGCGATCTGGAAGTATGGTGTCTGAAAAGGGTGGCATCAAATGTGACCTTGTTACAGTGATTGATTGAGCACTGGCGATTGTTGTGGACTGGTTCAAACACAAACCAAAGATTGGAATCTGTTGCAAGAGCTTCAAGCAATCTTCTAGGTCATGCCTTGGGACTAGGACTCAGCTATATTTGTGGCAATTGGATATGCCACCCTACAATTTCACAGTGTGTTGTGTTGCCTGTGTAAACAGGCCCTGTCTGATGATGTTGGGCCAGAGAAGATCGAGATTGACGTTGTTGACTTCAGTGGGCCCCAGTTCAAGGATGTTGACGAGCGCCTGGTTGCCCTGAGGCTAGTGCAGAATGGGCAGACAGATGCTGCCATTTTCTCTGGATCGGGCAAGCTCATGATACCTCAGGAGGCCCTCAGGAAAATGAATGTCCTCCTTTTGAGAGGAAGGTTCAAGTAAGATTCAGATTAATACAAAAGGGGGAGAGGAGGGCTGTATCAGATGAAAATTGCACTGTTGTCAGTAGAACAGGAAAGAACTTAAAAAAAGTGCAGAGAAGGGACCCGGAAGGGGGGGGGGGAATGACCTTTGTCGCATCAGATGAATACTGCACTCTTGTGAGAAGAATAGGAAAGAACTGAAAAGAAGATTGCAGAGAAGGAACCCAAAAATATGCATGGACCAGTGGCGTGGTTTTCAGAGGGAGGAACACTTGAACTCAGCTGCAGGCCAATTCTTGTGCTTGCTTACAGCACAACAGAAGGGCATGCACAGTATGCATGTAAAGGCAACAGCACGAAGCCACTGACTGGTGACCGTTGACGCATAAGGCAGTGGCCTGTGCTGTGAGACCAATGACATTTTGCAATCTTAGTATCTTTTTTGGGACATGAGCACAGTGCCAAAGCACTCAGTGCTGTGTCTTGTACCCATTTTGCATGAAATGGATGTATGGCATCTAATGTGTGGTTGTGCGAGTGTGTAGTATGGATTCTATAGTATGTGGTGCAAGTGGGTAGTACTTGGTGTGTAGTATGTAGTATGGCTCTATGGCGTCTAAATCGGTGAATATGTTCCCTTGTGTCAAGGCATGTATGCATGCAGGAATCATGAATCCTGCTTCTGCCGCTGTTGTTAAAGTTGCCAAGGCTGTACCCTTGCACCTTCAAGGTAAGATGGATTGATTCAGTTACATGACAGATCCGGTGGGTGTCATGATGGACTGGTGGCATGAATCATGTAACCTGATGACATGAATCGCACTGTTGCAGGCCATTCACATTGCTGCACAATGACATGCTCATGGGTGCTGCTTCCCAGTTCTTCTGCAGCACCTTCGATGAAGAGATCACAAACCTTGACGCCAAAGACTACTGTGTGCAGCGAGATGACACACAGGTGAAAATCTGCACCTGATTGCTTTCGTCCTATGGACCAGACACGCTGCGTGCAGCCGCATGGTGATGACGTTAACTGGACATTGTTCCCAGGGGCAGGTTGAAGTGTGCTGTATTCTTCGTACATGGGGTGCTGTGACGTTTGATGTTTAAGCATCGAGTGATAGGAGTTTTCATTGACTGAATGCGAGATTTGTTTCCGTACTTCCAATAGCAGAGTGGGCATCACTAAAACGAAATAGTGAACATGAATGTGTCACACGAATGTTTTGAATGGCATTGAAGCACCTTCTGCACTGACGACCGAAATTGTTTTTGTTTCGAAGTATTACACAATATTACTGCCTCTGTCTCAATTTAAATGAAACAACTTGTTGGGAGGCTGAATTTGTATGAAATACTCATTTATTTTTTTTCAAAATGTAACCGCAGCACCTGCTACACATGGAGTAGTTGCTAGCGAAAAAACAGAGGGAACGATTGAGTACACAGCATTCAGCAATGCATTGAACCTGCGATACTCCAATCCAGAATTTGGTCCCTCCCAGGGCATCCCCTGCCCGCCAAAATTAGCTTCCTGGGTCCGGGGTGGCCCCTCTTTCTGGACTTCAGGGTTCTGGAAGGGTAGAGTGGCCAACCTCGCTCAGGCTATAGCACGATGATCGGCACCATCGAGATGGACACCTGGCAGAGATGACGCATGGCTGCCCATCTTGCCATCGCTGATTTTTGGTAATCGCCACCACTGTTCAAGGCGACACGAGGACATATTTGGGATCTATTGTTGCCCACAGGTCGCCTGGTGCCTACAGACTAGCTGTGGAACCGCTGCATGTGCCGCATACTCTCCGTTCGTTACTGATCTCCAATCGATGGCGTGTTTGGTGCAAGGAACACCTACCTACCAAACATGACCGATGGAGGGTGTGGATGCTCCATCGGAGACCCCAAGTGGGGAATAGCGGTGCTGTTGCATTCCACAAGGATGCTGTCCAGAATCTCTCGCAGCAAGCGCCTTTCAAAGCGGCTTGAACTGCACTCGAAGTGTTCCTTGTGGCCTGTGCCAGGCACAGCTGCTTCCAGTGATCTTTTCGATGCTGCTCAGCCAACTGACAATCGCATCTCTCCAAACACAATGGCATCTCTCCAAACTTTTGGTGCTGGCCTAAACACTTGCGGTGACCCTGCCCATGGCAGCAGCCCTTTTCGAAAACGCTAAGGTTCTGAAGTTCGCCGATTTCTCGGCTTCCTATCCAAATCTGAAATGGTCAATGGGCTGTCGAATCCACTGTCACGATCGACGATCGAGTGGAATAGAACTCGGTTCCGGGGCATGTGGGCTTCCAGAGGAACGCCTCCGACCTGCAGCCACAGCGGCGGCCGCACATATCCACTCTGTGCTGCGCACCAATAGTTGCAGAGCGACCTGGTCAAAGGGCCAGGGTTGGGGGGGGGGGGGGTCTGCCAGTGTGAGAAAATTGTTCTTTTTCACAAAAATCCTGTGGGTTCAAGTACAACCATTTGACCAATATTTATCTGTTTTGTACGAAAACTCGACAGCATATAATATACTCGTGGGTTGTTCTCTGGCCTAGTTTTGAAGGAAAAATAGTAAGTACATGGCACAAATATGGCCTCCCAAACAAATTGTTTCATTTAGTTTGAGACAAAGGAAGTACATGCTAAGCAGTTCAGACAGTTGGAAAGGATGCACGACATCTGCCATCGCTCATTGGACAAAAGGGCAAGGGCTGGTTGCATAGTGACAAGTGCAGAGAGAGAATTGATTCATTTCACTTTTGTGCCCCTGTTGTGTGTTTATTTGTGCTTTCCTATGTTATTTTGCAGGTGATCCTTGAGATGACCACCAATGATATGTTGGAGAGTGGCGACCTCTTGGACTGGACATCAGAGACAGGTGAGGCCGATGGTGTAGAATTCTTATGATTGCATTCCTTGGCACTCGCAGACTCTATCCACCCACCGATGAGGTGTTGAAGGGGAGAGCATGCATTAACAGCTTGTTGTCCCAGACTGGTCATAAGAATTCCAATTCCAGAGCTGTCCAAATTTGAATCCATTTCTGAACAACTGAGGATAATGCGGAGGTGACTGTGGCATCAGACAAGCCCCTTGTCTGGTTAGCCTTCTTTTTGAATGTTGATACAGAGGCAGACATTGCCATAGGGCACCCTCACAGTTTGTTGTGTGCGGAGCATTCCAGGCACTGTGACCTGTTTCGTTGTTTTGTCAGTGCTCTGTGTTTTTGAAGCATCAAAGGTGGATGTTTGCTGACAGTTTTGTTGTTCTGTTCGTGCCATGCACTTTTATGCAGAACATCTCAAATCGTCCTTCTGATTCCTGTGCAAATCGTCCTTTTCACACAGTTTCGAGCTGTCGAAGTGAAGCGTAAGGCCTATCCAAAAGTGAACTCAATGTTTCAGCACTGCACAGCCTGTCAACACAGAGTGTGTGTGGAAAGTTGTGCTCTTCTTGTCCTTGTCAACACAGAGTTTGTGTGGAAAGTTGTGCTCTTCTCATCCTTGCTCTTGCGCATTCTGATTCCATATCTGCCAGTGAATGCTGATTGGCGCTACCTTCACCCCCACCCTGGATGCAGGACTAGACGAGTCCGCATTTCTCCAGCGCATGGAGGCCCTCAACAAACTTGGCTACATCGTCATGCTCTCCAGCTACCAGCGCTACTTCAGCCTGGCGGCCTACCTGCGCCGCTACACCAACGAGGCCATCTGCATCGCCCTGGGGCCCAACGCCCTCAGGCAGCTCTTCCGCGAGAGGTACTACCGCGACCTGCCTGGCGGCATCCTGGAGAACTTCGGTCGGTTGTTGCGGTACGATTTGAAACTGTATGTGTACCCCACCCTGGACCCGGCCACAGGCACCCTGGTGCATGCAAGGAACCTGCGGGTGGACCCTGAGGTCCAGCTGCTGTATGACTACATCTTGACTCGTGGCGCCATCGTGCCGATCACGATGTACGACGAGTCGTTGCTGTCTGAGGGGGACGTTTCGAAACGGGTGGTGGAGAGCATTAGGGCGGGCACGTCGGATTGGGAGAATCTGGTGCCGAAGTATGTGGCTGAGCAGATAAGGGACCAGAGGCTGTGGGGCTACCGGCCACCCTCGGAGCTGAAGGCGCCGTCTCTGTTCAAGAACGAAAGGGGAGCAGAAGTGGGCAAGACTGAGGTCACGGTGTGAGGAATGGGAGTGGCAAGGCTTGGCATCTTTGTGACCTGCACTGCCGATTTTGTGCCTAATGCTAAGTAGAGGATTGACAAGGGGGTGTGCAAGCAACGGGACTTGAACCGCGCCCCGTTGGATTGTACCTGAGCTGTGTTGTGTATCATGCAGTGTTGTAGATTACGTTGAGTCAATGGAAGCGTCCGTGGGGCAGGATTCTTTGTGGCATCAGGCAGGTGCACAGGACGTCCGCGCAAGGTTTGTCCGTTGAGGAACGTATCTGTCGAACGCACCAGTTTCGAGGCTCTAGAATTTTGAGAAGGAGTTTCCATTGCTGTGGTTCTGTTCAAGATTACCCAAATTGGGGGCTCCTGAGGGTGGGCGCAGGGCAATAGCCAATCGGAGCTAAGTTGGGACCAGAACCGGTGCAGGCCGCCTTGCATGGTTTGGCGTACTTGTGTAACGGTGGGACGAGACTCACTATGATGGTGCCCAAGATCGGGCGGCGTTTGCCCTGGCACTGTTTTTGCTATTTGCAGAAACGAGATTGAAGGTCCGCTTGGGAAAGACTCAGAATTGCAGACATGGCGGGTTGAAGTGTTGATGGCATGTATTTTTAAGTCTGGAGAAGAACAAGCGACCCTTAGCAATGACCTGGGTGCTTTCGTTTTCTGCATTTTCTTTTGGCGCCTGCCCTTGTCGTTCCTGGACTGTACGTCAGCAGGCCGTCCTCAGGGTCTCGCAATCAGGGGAGCCATGGCCCAAGGCTCAGGAGTCACACGTGTGATGTGAACAAAAGTGGGAACGCCGCATTTCAAGTTGTCAGCGTGGACACGGGCGTGGACACGTACTTCAGTCAATATATATACACACCGTTCAGCACAAGTAAAAAGTCGCTTATTTGTTGGCACTTCGTGTTGGGTATTTCGAATTATCTTGTGTACAACTAACGGCCGTTGATTAGGTAGTACTTCAACATTGAAATTTTTTGAAATGCAGCAAGTACGGCAAATCTTGAACACCCACTCAGCTCGCCCCCATCAGAATTCATAGAACACCCTTTGAAGCAATGCGCACGCAAGATGTCGTATTTGCCATTGACATTGTGCGTCCATGTTGAACAACGTGCTGCAAATTGTCACTCAATTCCAAATGGGAATTTTCGGGGCCGCCAAAAGAACCTTCGAAATTAGCCCCAGCCGCAGCAACGATGTGCCTATGAAGCTGCTGGGCATGAGCGAGCAGTGGCATGGTTGAAGGTTCAGCGCTATTTTTCCGGCACTGGCTTTTGGGCCATCCAGTCTTCATCAGTCCGTGTCATTTGGCCGAATCCTCCCAACTGATAAAGGTGCCCACAAGCGGAGCAATAGCACCGGCGCTGTTCGACAAATGGCACCATTATAAGATGGCACGGCAGCCAATGAGAATCTTTTCTGCGTTGCCCCGCCGGTGCAACACAGGAACGATTGTGTCATCGGTACCGATGACCAAGCTGAGCACCCCTTGGGGAAGGCCATGTACCAGACAGCGCTTTGAGGTATCGACGTGCGTCTTGTCAACAGAGACGGTAACTGAGACGCGGACGGGCTGGGATTGGGCGGCTGGGCGTTGCGGCCTGGGGTAGGAGATGTCACCTTGTCTGTGGAACTGCATTGCAGGGCTTAAGGTCTGCAATATCCAGTGCTTCTGGGTACCGAGGAAGCACCGGAAGCCGTCGGCGGGTCGCGTGGCCGCCGCCTTTGGCCTGGGTTCCACCCTGGCCCCCCCTCCCCGTGCCGCGGCGTGCATCAATTCAGCACGTGGCAGCGCCCCCCGATGGCCGCTTGCTCCGCGAAGACGGTGGCGCCAGGGGCTGTCTCCCACAGGATGGCTCGGCTGTGACGCAGGGACGTCACGTGGCGCCACCAGCTGCACGGCCGGCGAACGAACACGGGCATCTTCCGCGTCGCCCGTGCGCTAGGGAGAGTGGGCTCGGAGATCTTTCGCATTGTCCGTCCTCCGGGGAGAGGGGCGCGCGGATGGATGTTGCGCCTCGTTCAGTGCCGAACGACGACTTGCTGCCAACTTGTTGAGGGCAAAAGAGGGGGGGAGCCATGGGACCTGTCCAAAGAGCGCCTACAGAGATTGGCCATCAGTCGCAATGAGAGGCGAAGACGTGTCATGGGAATGTCTCCTCTCCCCCGCCCCCCCCCTCCTTCCCACTTTCTTTGGAAGAATGTTTGATATTCCTCGCCGTGCTGTGGCTGGCGATCCGCAAGGAAGTACAAGTTCCTGGGCGCAGCAGGCGGTGCAAGTCGACAATGGGTGCAGGACCTGTTGACCATAAGTGGAAAACGTTTGAGCTGGCCCCCTAGTCACGTCCTTTTCTCAAAGGTACAAGGAGAACTGTCCATCAAATCTGGCATCCATGTATCCCACTATGGGACGGATCGGCTGACTTGCTTGGTATTGGATGAGTAGAAATGGAGATCGCACAAGCATGTGTGCCAGAGTTTGGGCCAGCAGATGCGCCAATGGGAAAAAGGAAGGGCCACCCTCATGAGCAACTGAAGGGTTACCTCAAACTGCGACGAAGTGTGGCACAATACTCATTATCTTCCACAGCACTGAACAAAATTGCAAATTTATTTTGCACTGGAGGGTTGTGTCCATCATCTAGCTTTCTCTTATTTTAGTTGCAGTGAATGTCACCCTGTCCATACTCGATGGTGTCCTGGGCAGCAGACAGTCAGTTGCCCTTTCTTGCATTGTCACGTGCAGTTCCAGAGGGTAGAGAACAAAGATCTTTGATGATTTGTCACATCTGATGATCAAGACTTGTGAAATTCTAAACTGCTGGCATTGGATTGATTGGAAGCACTGTTTTATTGCTGTCTTTCCTTGTGATTCCAGTGAGCGTTAGCCAATTTTGTGCTCACATTGAAGTCAGCTGCATTGAAACAACACCTGACAAAACTGTCTGCCGCTGGACTGACTTACATTCCTTGTGTGTTGCTGCGTGCTCTAGAAATTGCCTCTGACTTTGTGATTACGTCACTCCTCAATTAATGGTAGCTTTTGGTGTAACACGTTCAGAACACAACAACAGTTGTGTTTTCAGTGCTCCTTTTTGTGCACATTCAGGAAGCTTCATACAAGCACAGAGAGCTGCAGAAAATCTGTGAGAACTGCAATCTGTTGGCCCAACAGAAGCTTCCAAGGAAAGCATCTCGTAGCTGTGCGGCAGCTGGGCAGGTGGGATGCAAATTCTGCATTTTAGGCATGCAGACTATGCGATCATATTCTGACTGTTGTTCGTTTTGGTGGGCACTTTAGCACGATCTGCCAGTTTGCCAATTTGTACTGTCATGGCAGGGCGAAAGCGGACAGGCCTAACCCAACATTGGATGCACATGCACCAAAAACATCGTACAATTACATTCACACGTCGGTTCCATTAGTGTTGTAATGATTGTGTTCAATTATGTGTCAGCCCTCGCATGCTTCCACTGTGTTCAGAATCACCCTTAAGAATATGCATTGTCCCTCGCTATTAGTCTCCCCAGTGAATATCATATTCTCTCATTCGGATTCTCACATAACAAAACAGCCATCACTATATAGGACCTCCATTAGCATACATGGACACATCAATCATCCCGACTAACGCTGACACAGACTCAAGTGCCATAGGCATTACCTATCCCAACGTGACTAATGACAGTGACATTATTTATCACACATTGGTTTGCAAATGTCAAAATGAACCATAGCCATTTATGTGCCCTGAACGATTACACGCTTTCCACAAGGATTGTGTCACACATTTAATCAATTCCCAAGGCCCCGTCCATGAAGGCGAAATTTTGTTGTCCAAATGTTTGGCGCGCTGGTAGTCCCACAACCAAACCTTGTTCCAACTGCATATGTCCATGGTGCTAACTGAGCTAATCCTCTGATTTGCCTCGACCCATGCTCCTGGTATGTGTCCTTTCGCATTCTGCCAAGTCATCGAACGAGCTTTCCATAGTGCGTTGGATGCCATCCTAGTGACCCTTTGGAGTGTTGTCCACATCGCTTCAATGGCTTTAGGCAAGGCAGCTGGCAAATTTCTATTGCCTTGCTCCGCCATATTCCTGCAAATTGTCCAATTAATGTTTGTGTAGTCCTCTTGGCTTTGCCATTGGATTTGCGACTGCTGGGAGCAACCATTATCCTGTTCATGCTGTGGTCAACACATCCCTTCTGAAACTCGAGGAACAGTTGTACGTGGCACGATCACACAGGAAACATCTTGGACAACTGCACAAAGAAATCGACCGTTCCAATCCTCCAATTACAATGGCCGTCTTGCTCACCTTGTATGGAATTATATGGTACGATCTTGTCAAGTTTTCCGCCTTGACCAACTTGTACGATACATTCCCTTTCCCGTAAGGCTGCGGCCCAACAAAATCAAAACCCACGAGCTTACCAGGCATGACAGGCTGTGGCCAGTGACGAAAATAATCACCAAGCGATAAATGGCAAAAGGGCTGTGACATGCTCAACACTTGTGAAGGGCACTCTTAACAGCTTCCACTGAGCAAAGAGACCCCAGTTGGGGCATATTCTGCCATATCTTGTGAATGCCAAATTGCAAGGAATAAATGCACACAGGTTGTGAGGTTTTTCCAAGTTGTGTATTATATCATTGTCTATATGCACCACCACTCGTGGCCCAAATCCCCAAGGAAGAAAAGGACCTCAACATCTCTTGCCAAACCCTCCTGCCGTAGCCAGCAGTGGAGAGCCCAAAAGTTCCTGGACAAGGTCCTGTCGCTTGGACGTGACCATGAGATCAATTTTGCCTACTCCAGTGGCTGCCTAAAGAGCCTGTGAGTGCAAGAAAAGCCTCTCTATTGACCACCCTGCATGTCCCAATCCATCTCTGTAATAAGGGTGTCATCCTCCATCGAAGCTCCATCAGCTGTGATGTCTACCATGGGTGAGAATCTGGGCAGTCACAACGTGCAAGAAATGTGTAGTCAATCACTCTG